TTGTATTACATGATGTTCACTCACGGCAAAGAAGAGAAGAACTGATCAACGAAGATGCACTTGACGAAGAAGGCTTTGATGGCTCAGACACCGACAGCGGTGATATGCAACAAACACAAGTTCCTGATACACAAGAGGAAGAAGAAGTTTATCATGTAACCGTTGACGATAATACATGCCATTCGAATGAATATAGAAGTAAACCAGTACAAAATTTTGCTCTTATAGGCCAACGAGGGAGGGTCAATTTGCGGTCTAGCGTTAGACAAGGGATTAGTTCCCAAAGATTAGGTGGAAGCTCACGGATTTCTGTTTCTAATGGTTCACGAGGAGGTCATAGAAGACAATCATTCGAGACAACCATACAACACACCATTTCAACGAAAAAGTTTACAACAACTTCGTCCAGGTGCTTTTGACCAAGCTGAATATGATGAATGGAAAAAAGCAGAATCCATATTCCTTGCGCTAAAAATTTCAAAAGGTACTAAATTTTAATGGGCATGCCTTAATACATTGAAGGAGTTAGTATTTTGGCGTAAGTACTTCATTGATATAGCGGAAGGCATAGACGAGGATAAAGTACAGCTGCTAGAAGCTATGACTGGTGTTTCACGGAACAATGAAGATGTGCCAAAACAGTTAGGTTCCGGCCAATCGTTTGGAAGTCCAAATTCAGGAGGCTTATCATATGGTAGTCCATCTTCCGGAGGGCAAAATTCAGGAGGATTATGGCCCTCCAAATTTCAACATTGGGGTACACCACCAAATGCTCAACAATGGGGTTCACCTCAACCATGTCAACAATGGAGAACACCACCAAATGCACAACAATGAGGCACACCACCAAATGCACATCAATGGAGCACACCACCAAATGTGCAACAATGGGCCCCAAATGCTCAACAGTGGGGCTTTCACCAAACTTTCAACCTTGGATTCCACCATCAAACTTTCACACAAGAGGTGAGACACAAAATTTTCAACAAGGCGGCTCATCAGGAATGACTCCAGCCAATGTTCAATATGGATTTTCTGTTGGAGATCAAGTAGGAAGTACGAGAACTAACGGATAAGAAACTTCAAGAGCTTCCCCAAACGTTCAACCAACAACATCACGCGGTCTTGATTTCATAAATTATTTTGGAACTGAACATCAAATACCTAGACCAGGAGGTATATTTAATATATGGGGTATCACGCCAAGAACAAACACAAATGTAAACGAAGGTCGTCAAAGTTGTTCAGAAGATGAAGATTAGTCTGTAACAATTGTGTTTCATGTAATGAAGTATTTCATACTTTTTTATTTAAAATTTTTAGTGTAATTGTTTAATTTAAATTTATAATTTCTAATGATGTTTTTTATTTCGTGTTTAAAATTTCAGGCTTTTTTTTATGTCAGTTATGATCACAATGCATGTACAACCTAAGTTACGAAGAGAGAATTGAATTGTGGAATTTGGAAAATGAGCAATTTATGGAGTTAATAATTCAGCCAATTTTGAATTACTATCATCGATATTTTGAAAGAGCACCAGACCTTACAGACAGAGGTTTGGGATGGACAAATATTTGGCCTCAGCTACAACGAGATGCTAGGGCTTGTCTTCAGTTACTACAAATGTCAATGCCATGTTTTCTAATGTTATGTGATATGCTACAGACAAATTACGGTCTTCAACCAACATTAAATATTAGCATTGAAGAAAGTGTGGCTATATTTTAACGGATATGTGGGCACAATGAAGTTCAAAGAGATGTTGGTTTGAGATTTGGTCGAAATAAAAAGACTGTGCAGAGAAAATTTATTGAAGTTCTTAGGACTACTGAATTATTGGCATGTGACTATATTAAAACTCCAACAACAGAAGACCTAGACAGAGTTCCTGAAAGACTTATACAAGATCGAAGATATTAACCATATTTCAGTGGATTTGTTAGAGCTATGGATGGGACTCATGTATGCGTAAAAGTAAAACCAGAATTACAAAGAATATATTGGGATCGACATGATAATCCATCTTTCAACATCATGGCAATATGTGATTTGAATATGTTATTCACATATATTTGGAATGGAGCACCAGGATCATGCCACGATACAGCAGTTTTGGCAATGGCACAACAAAGTGACTCTGAGTTCCCTTTGCCGCCACCTGAGAAGTATTATCTCGTTGATTCTGGTTATCCAAACAAACAAGGATTTTTTGGCTCCATATAGATCATCATGAAACAGAGTTGTGAGATATCATATGGCTCAGTTCAATTATGGTCCTGCTCCTAGGAATAAACAAGAACTCTTCAATCGAAATTATGCGTCTATGCGTTCTGTTATCGAGAGAACTTTTGGATGTTGGAAGAAAAAGTGAAGAATTGTTAAGGAATTTCCAAAATATAGTGTTAAAATCCAAAAGACGGTAATAAAGGGTACAATGGGATTAAATAATTTTATCAAAATTTCAGATTTCGCTAATCCAGATTTTGCAAATGCAATGACAGAGATGAAAATTAACAATATAGATTCTTAATATGATTTAAATGACGTTGAAGGAAAAGAGGCAGCTGATGGACATTATATGGACCAAATAAGAGACAGAATTGCAGATATGTTATAGAATCAAAATATTTGATGATTGTTTTTATTGAAATATATTTTATTTATTATGATTTATGGTTTGATCTTGTTTTTTCGTATTTTTATCGCAAAAATTAAACTTTACCTGAAATAAAATTTGAATATTTAAAGTTCATAAATATATAAAAAATTTAGTAACCAAAATTAATAATTTAATTACAATTATATTAATTGTTATATATATTTTTATAATATTTTATCTATAATCTGTAATCTGTACCGTTTTAGTCTTATTCACCATTCAAACATTTTATTATGGACCGCAAACTGTTTTTTTTCATCAATCAAACATTAATCTGTACCGCTAATAATATTTAAACTTGTCCCGCAAATATATTTTCTCGCACATACCGCAGTTCAACCGTATCGCATTTTGAAACTGCTTTTCCCGCACAACCAAATACGCCGTCACCGTTCGGCCCAAAATATATTACATTTATCAAGAAACTATTCTTAAAATAATTATTTTAATTATTTTTAATCTAATGAAAGTTATAAAAAATATATTTGTGGAATAAGTGCAGTCGGTTAAAATTAACGATGTAGAATAATAATTGATTGGTGAAAAAATGAAGTTGTAGTAAATAAAAATTTAAATGGTGAAAAAAATCATAATAAATTTACAATGTAATAATTTATTTTTATTTTTAAATGAAATAATTATTCTAATTACTTATAAATTGATTAATACATAGGGTTTTTGCTAAAAATAACCTAAAACTTAACTTTGAATACAAAAGTAGACCCCTAAAAAAACATTTGGCAGAAATAACCTAAAGGGGTAGTGAAAAGATCATTTAATCCTGTATGAGTAAACAAAAAACAGATGTCCTAATTACCGTTTACACCTTGACAAAGTTTACTAAAGAGAGAAAGAAGTCTAATAGTAGACTTCTTTTATCGAAATAAAGTCTACTAAGTAATTAAATCTGGAAATTTAATTTTATAATTTAGAAAAAATTATTTTGGTATCAAATTTACATTCATAAATTTCGTAATTGTAACCCAAATGTACATAAATTATTTTTTCATATTGCTAAATGGGAATTTATGTTTTTAAATTAAGTAGACGTAAATTTATTATTTAGGTTTTAAAAGTTGTAGACTTCTATATTGAAGTCTACTAAACCGAATAAATTAACCTAACCAAAATTTAAACCGAAATTAAACCGGGAATAACTTCCTTAACCAAGAAAAACTGCCTGTAACCGGGTAAATTTACCTAGACCCCGTAAAATTACTAACCCTAACCGGAAAAAACTTACCCGAACCGAACGGAATTACCAGACTATATAAAGGAATTTTACAGATCCCGTAAAAAAAAACCCATCGAAAGTTCGTGTTAAAAAAAAAAGTCGAAGGCGATTTCTGTTTCTCTTCTCTGGCGCCGCCGACTTACAGAACCGCCGCCGATAAACCCGTTCAGGCAAGTTTTCTTACTCCAACCACACCCCCATGCTTCCTTACTCCTCCGTATTCATCACCTTTCCGTTTTCGTAACCACCAGTGTCCAGATCTGAAATTAGGGTTTTTTTTTTTTTTTGCAGATCTGCTTTCGCCGCTGGAGGTTAAAGTCATTTCCTGCCTCAAAACGGTTAGTAGATGTCCTTCCGAAGATATATACTTAGCTATTCCTCTATTTCTTCTATCTTCCTGTAATTTTGTCCGTCAGGTTTGAGTACTTAGGTTTTTTTTCCCAGATCTGGTTGCATTTTCTCGACGCCGGCTTCATCTAATCACAGCTGTAAACACTATACACTTTGTAGATTCCATTGGATGATTGGTTTTAGTAAACTTCATATACAGTATTTATCATGTATTGATTGCTTCGGTTGGGTTCAGTAGACTGCATATGCAGTATTTATGATGTTTTGATTGCTTCATGTGGCTTCCGTAGACTTCATATACTGTTATTTTTTATGTTTAGATTGCTTCGGTTAGCTTCAGTAGACTTCTCGACTCGGATTGTACTTAGAATGTGAAAGTAGACTTCCTTTGGCAAAATAGACTTCCTTTGGCAATAGTAGACTTCATTTTGCAAAAAAGTAGACTTCATTTTGTAAAAGTAGACTTCATGTTGCAAAAGTAGACTTCATTTTGTAAAAATAGACTTCATTTTGAAAAGGTAGACTTCATTTTGAAAAAGTAGACTTCATTTTGAAAAAGTAGACTTCATTTTGAAAAAGTATACTTCATTTTGAAAAAGTAGACTTCATTTTGAAAAAGTAGACTTCATTGTATCAAAAAGTAGACTTCATTTTGTAAAAGTAGACTTCATTCCTGTATAGTTTCAAACCGTTAGTTATAACTAATTTTCTCATAAGAGCTTTGTTACCGTCGATGCAGAAATCTGTGTTAGACAATGGTTGCCTCTGAATTACCTAGAAGACTGTACACCAAAGGCGGTGAGCCAGCCCCGGATAAAAGCATCGGCTATTATGCTGATGATTATAGGCTGGTACCTGCACTAAAGTCAGCTCTACAAGAGGATGAATGGGAAGAGATTTACGAGTCACCGTTGGGTGTCTTTTTAAGGTTCCACGACTTGGATTTTGGTTGGGCTTCTAGGCTGGTGCACCACATGCTGACCTTTCAGATAGTTTGCAAGCAGAGGTATGAGATATGGAGCCTGATTGGTACCACTCCAGTTCGGTTTTCATTGCATGAGTTTGAGGAGATCACCGGACTCAACTGCGGGTATGTGGATGACTTGGCTGTAACTGATCTTGAGCTTTCCGATGACATGCGTACATTTTAGGAGCTAATGGGGGTCGATTTCGAGTCGGGCCCAAGCACTATCGAAATTATTGAAGTCTGTTCCAACTGCTCATCATGGTCTCGGGATGATAGGCTGCGGTTGGGATATCTTGGGATATACGCTGGTTTCATAGTGGCAACGAGACCAGGCTTATCCACAAATGTCAACCATGCCAGACTAGTGATGGATCTCGAAGGTTTTATGGAGTTCCCATGGGGAAGAATTGCTTTTCAGCATCTGATCAAGTCTGTTAAGGAGAAAGATCTCAGCAAAAACATTCATATAGAAGGATTTGTGCAAGCTCTTCAAGTGTGGGTGTACAATGCTCTGCCGGATTTTGCTGCTGAATTTGGCAAACCATTGCCAAATGATCCTACACCTCTTATGCTGGCTTACAAAGGATCAAGAGGACAAAAGAAAGTCAAAGCCAACATGCTAAAACATGTACTGTATTAGTCTAGTCATTCTCATTTAGAAGTCTTGTTCCGTAGTAGACTTCTATGTAGTAATGAATTTACAAAGTAGACTTCAGGAGCAGACTTCATGCATAGACTTCTATATAAAATCTTGATAGTGGGAGACTTCAGTTGTAGACTTCAGTAGTAGACTTCAATGGTGGACTTCATACGTAGTTTTTCCAGGCTTCATATGGCTAGTAATTCATTTACTTATTGTGTTTTTCCAGGCTCGCATACAGTGCTGCGTGGCTAAGGACTTGGCGGATATGTTTCCAGTTTGGGATGATGAGGAACAGGATCCGGATATTGTCAAGATTGTCTATGCAATCCATGATCCCCATTTCAAGTTCTAAAAAAACCACTGGCCTTTGGAAGGTGTTTTGGGTGCACACATCGTCAAGGCAGAAGCAGGAAAGAGGAACCTTCCCTCAGTTGAATCAAGTCGCAAGAGAACCTGCACAGCCTCTGCCTCTGCCGCCTCTTTCGTTGGTGATGAAGGGGTCGGAGTTGTCGCTACTATGAAAGCGTACTTCGACCAATACTTCAAAAGCTTTTCAACCAAGATGCTGAATGGTCTTGGTAGCTATGAAAAGCAGATCAAACTTCTCACCGACAAGGTTGAATCTGTAGAGCGCGCGGTAGAGGAATTGACTACAGGGTCGGCGAAGTACACTGAGGAAGAGGTTAAGGACAATGTTCAGCAAAAACAGCAGCAGGTCACTGGATCCAAGAAGCATGAAGGGGTTAGTACCAAAAACCCTCCGCCTATACAAAAACATTTCATGCGAACAAGATCATCAAAAGATAGGAACACTTAATACTAATATCATTTGAATTTGAACATGTTTAATAGTGCTATGTACCATGTGAGATTATTTACTTATGTTTTTAAAACTAGTTGTTTACAATTTTCAGATTATGATGAAACATGTTACTAAATTATAGCAATGGTGTTGTCATTTGTATATTCATGCATGTTTGTGACAATAAACTGCAGAGTAATTCAGAGAAAGAAGATGCTCCGATGAAAGTTAATGTCAACGTTGGTGCGAGTGAGAGTGTTAACGCCCCCGGGGATGCAAAAGGAAAGAAGGCTGCCATGTGTGATGTTGACGTTGACGCAGTTGCACTAGCCAAAAATGCCAGAGCAGCGGCTCAGATAGTTGGCCGAGCAACGAGTGCCAGAAACCGACAGCTGGCTGCGACAGAAGAGTCCTTTCTTAGGAAATAGCACCGCAAAGGCGATCATTCTAACGTTGGCATCTCACTCCGATCGTGTCCGTGGATATGATCCTTTCGATCAAACAGGTGTCAGGACGAAGCATACCACTCTAATGAACTTTGTGAAAGCAAACCCGTGAGTAGACTTCTATACTTATGTAAGTAGACTTCCTCATATTATTATTTTCCTGTCTGACTTTTTCACTTATACAGTGCCTATCCAAGACGTCCAAAAAACTCTTCGGTCGACTGGTATTACATTCTCCGGACACCGAAGAAATGACTAGCTGATACGGTTAGTGTTTTACTATTTCATATTAAACTTCATAGTTAGACTTCATACGTAGACCTAATATGTAGACTTTTATAGTAGCCTTCGTTTGCAGACTTCACTCATGTCTTATTTTCATCAATGTGCAGCACATGGAAGCTTATATTAACGTACTCAGGCTGCGATTATCCAAGCATCCGGAGTGGTTTGTATCCGACCGGATTTGCTTCCTCAACTCCATGTTTGCTACGGTTTGGAGGCGTGACTACAATGACTTCAAAAACTCTGAGCCGAATGACTTCAAAAACTCTGGCAAACTTCTACCACCTGGAGCATATTCGTACTACACTGGCGAATTACCTATCTACTGCCAGACTAAAAAGACGTGGGCCTATGAAGTCGACTATTTGTACTCAATGTTGCACATCAGGGGGGGACCATTGGGTAGCTATCTGGGTTTCATTTGTGACGAGGCATATCACGATATGGGATAGTCATGCGGGAACCAAACATGCATCTGACGCCCAAATTGACGAAGTTGTGGAGCTTCTCGCTGTTATGATACCCTACCTTCTTCAGACCTGTGCACCTGATGAAGACAAGTGGAGATTCCTCTACACGCCGTTCACCCATTCGCGAGTACCAGGTACGGAGATGCCTCAAAACATTCAGAGTGGTGATTGCGGAGTCTACTGCCTGAAGTACATCGAGTATTATGCTTTGGATTTGTCATTTCCTCCGCAACTTTGTGATAAAAACATTCGACAAATCAGGGAGAAAATGGCTGCATAGATCTTTGACGAAATAGGTGCTAGGGGCCATGATAAGCTAAATGCAACCGAACTGGATGTCTATGATAGGAAAGCTTAGGGTATCCGTATTTAAAACTAACTTTCATTTTTATGGAAACTTTTGGGCTACTTGCATAAATGACCTTTAATGTGATTGCAGGTCATTTTAGCAATTGGTCGATGATAGGTGTGGAAGTTTTTTGGCCACCTATCGTATAATTAAAATTCCAAATATGTTGTATTTTCGTTTAGGATATTGTAATTAAACTGAAGTCTACGACTGAAGTATTCGACTGAAGTCTACTAAGTTGTAATTGTATTTGTACTGAAGTCTACTAAGTAATTAACATGTTTGTATTTATAAGTTTCGATTTCACCCTAAACACTGAATCCTGTGAAATATTATTGAACATGCACTCCTGTAGTGTATACGGAAAAAGTTAAGTAGAACTCATAAATATGTTGCATACAATAAATATAAGTCTACAAACGAAGTCTAGTGCAGAAGTCTACTAATGTCATTTAAACATATAAGTAAACACAAAAACATAAAACATGGAGTCAACTAATTTCAACGCGGCCATTCATTTGCAAATCCACAAATTGTTTTCCAGAATATGGCACATTCCAACTTCCAGAAGCAAGGACTGCAGATTTTGTCACCATATGAGTCGACAAGACTTTCATCATCCATCCAGTGCTGGTTTGGCAGATTCATAAAAGCACAACTCCTTGATTGTGCCTTAGCAAAAACATGGAAGATTGGTTCGTGAAACTCGTCAAGCTTCTTATAAGTGGTTGGACACCTGTTGATGTGGTGCATAATCTTCCTCATCTTCGTTGCCTCTGCCGGAAGTAGACCACAAATGTGGTTAAATACATCATGGATGCCATCCATGGTTAAAGAGAACATAACCATGGAGTAAGTAGCCATGAGGCATCCTCCATTTGATGACACCTTTATTAAATCTAACCCTGCTTGGATGCTGTCTTCATAGAAGATTAGAGAAACGCCTCGTAGGTATTGCGTTGTAGGATTTCTACACTCCAAACAGTGCCGAAAGAATGCGTTTACCCTCCCATGTTGATCCCAGACCCATGGAATGGTCAAAGTTATTAGATCAACGGCTCTTAAAAAACCCTCTTCATTAGAAATCTCATTTAGATATTTGGAAAAAACCCTTGCTTTACAGAGCGCAGCGTATGAACGAGATGTGATTTTTAAAAGGATATCCCACAGAATGTCGGAAGGGAGAGAGTTGAAGTTTATCAGGTTCGACATCTTCTAAGGGTCTGGAATGAAACTATAATTTGTCTAAACCCGAGAATTTATAAGCAGAAATACCATAGACAAATAGGTACAACGGTTAAACGCACCGTTAAAGTCGTTAAAGCAGTTACTTAAATGAAGTCGTTTCAAACATAACCGTAAACAAAATATCACATACATAGTAGATTCGACAGTAGACTTCTGTAGTAGACTTCTATAGTTGACTTCCATAGTAGACTTCTTGACAATAATAGAAGCTTTGTCCTCCTATTCCGGAGCCTTCTTGTTATTGTCCAGGTGAATCTTCGACGTCTAAGTGAGAGACACAAAGTTTAGTAAACCCTAAAACTGTCAATATTGTATACTATGATTTAATATTAGATGAGTTTAGCTCAACTTACACAATTCGGTAGGGTATGACCAAGTTGCTTGCAATGTGAGCAGCTGTATAGTTTGTGCAGCTTCCTTGGCTTCTTGCTTTTCCTCCTAGAAATTTCTAGCCATGATTGCCACCGAGACTTCTTCCGTCTGCCTGGTTTGCGGCGAATGTCTGGTGGCAGACATATTGATGGTTGGACTCCTTGGACCTCTGAAATTTGGGGATATATGTTGGCAGAATATGCAGCAAACAAGTAGTTTTTCGAGTAAGTCGGACATACAAGGGAATCCACAGCTATCCCACCGGCTACTGCAGCTGCAATAGCATGTGAACATGGGATCTTCTCGATATAAAACACACCACATTCCTCCATTGCATCTACATAATATCCACGAATCGCCAGAAAATACTCCACTCCCCGAGTATTATGTGTTGTGAGACTCAAAGCATCCTCTCTGCGTTTTAAAAACCACCGACCGAGCTTCTCTCGTATGAAATCCAAGAATGAAATGGGATAGCACGGGCCTTCTTAAGTGCAGCATTTATAGACTCTGCGACATTTCTAGTCTTAATATTGTATATGTCTCCAACAAAATGAACTCGGGACCAAAGGGAGACATCGGCTTCTTCCAAATAGTCAGCAAGGTCAGACTTGATTTGTCTCAGCTCCACAATGTACCGGTTGTAGTCATAGAGGTTGTAAGCATAAGCCACACGTTTTACCAAGTACAGCAACTTCTTCCCCCTAAACTTTGTTATTATGTTATGTTGTAGATGGTAGTAGCATATCCCTCGTTTTGTCCATGGGAAAACAGTTTGACAAGCTTTCTTAATAGAAAGATGTCTGTCAGAAACTATCACCAAAGGATAACCATCTGAGACACATTCACGCAGTTTAGAAAAAAGCCATTCCCATGAAGCATCATCTTCACCATCAACAATTCCAAAGGCCAAAGGAAAAATCTGAAAGTTTCCATCTTGTGCGGTGGCAACCAACAAAGTACCTTCGTATTTCCCTGTTAGATGACATCCATCAACCACAATAACTCTTCTCATGTACTGAAAATCGGCAATCGATGCTCCAAATGCGAGAAATAGATATTTGAATTTATTATTCGAATCTACATGAAGAGTTGATAGAGTTCCCGGATAGGCTTTGTTCACTGAATGTAGGTAAGCTGGGAGACTCGCATATCCATCTTCAGCTGTTCCCCTGACCAATTGTTGGGCATATATCAAAGATCTGTATGAAGTAGTGTAATCCATCTTGATGCCAAACATATGCTTCATTGAAACCCTGACATGTTCTGGTGTAAGTCCATCAATGATGCCCAAATGACTTATAAACAGCTTGCCAATATACTTAGGAGTAGACTTCTCACGCTGAGCCATTCGATGGGCTATTGAACATGTGTGGTCTTTCACATATTTTGTCACCCAAAAAGTGGATGCATCATTCTTCACGCCCGCTCTAACCATCCAAGCACATCCTTCCACTCGACATTTAGCCACAAACAGGGTCTTCGCAAATTTTAACATTATCGCAGTCAATCTAACCTCTGATAACAGCTTCTCTTTTGTAGGGAAACTTGCCGTAACATATATATTATCAGACCATGACATGGGCGTGCTTCCTGTTTCACCATATCTGTTTCTGACATTTTCAATACAGACTTCATCTTCATCATCATCTTCATCTTTCACTTTACCGTAGACACTGTAATCTTCTCCGTCAGAGTAAGCTGCATCGTCGACATCTTCTCCATCCTCGTTTACATCAGAACTGTCTGCCTCATCATCGTAGAATGTTCTGAATTTTCCTCAGACTCCTCACCTAAATCTTCATCTGATCCTTCCTGGTTCTCCTCAGTATCCATCTCCACTCGAGTGGACACACAAAGACGTACCATATGCACTCTGCTTAACACAATCAAGCTTTAAACTTGTCTATCATTGGTGACATGCATTGGAGGTGTATCTGGAGCCATAGTTTGCAACATTGAGACTGGTAGTGAGTAGGTTAACTCGATGAGCACAGTCTTCTTGCCCAAGTTATAATCATCTCGCGCCATCTCAGTAAGCTCCCCCAAGGTGCAACCATCGTTCAAAAACCACATTCTTCCACCTTTGCCCGTGTCAACAACAAAATGCCATGAATTCTCCTCAATCTTCCACTCCCCGTACACAACTGGAATTTGAGCCATTCTCTGAAAAAAATAACCATAGAAACCATATTAGCAAACACTACATACAGACTTTTTGTATCAAGAGTATACTTCTCCCGAAAAGAACATTAGTA